AACAGCTCAATCTCCAGCACACCATTTTCTCCAACTAACAAAGCACACAGGGTGGTATGTCACCACCATTGGAACTCATGCTCCGCCTTCTCCCGTGCCATCCAAGTCTTCTCGCTGCAGGAGGACAAACCAAGCTGTTGGAGCGAGACCCAGTCGGGAGTAGTGCCTGACCTTAGAAAACACAGCCGGAAAAAGGTGGGCAACCTTCAGCACAAATTCACAAGACGTTGCTGGGATCTTCTTCAGATACATTAAAGCTGCCGTCTCTTGAATATAGATCTCCATGATCTTAGCTGACAACCATCTGCCTTTACGGCGTGTGTATTCTCCGTCTTCAGTCATCTGGAGGTGCCAGGTTGCACCTCCAGAGCGCAAACTACCTGGATCCAACGCTTTCATGTCACCTATCTTCTGTATGGGTAGGCGTAAAGCCGCAAGCACAACTCTAAATCTGGACCTGAAAGTCTGTCCAGAAAAGGATCACAACTTGTCGCGTGGTCTGAGGTGGCCAAAACAGAAGTCGACAACTTCGAGGAGGTCCGGAATATCAAGCTTTGCTGATTGATGCTTTGCTCCGGTTCGACGTGTTTTCGGTTGCTGAATAGATAACAAACCAAAAGCAACAGTAAAACCAACATCTCTTGGGAGAAGAAGGTCAGCTCGTGTTGAAGACAAGATCTCTCCAGAGCGCAACAAAGCGCCCCAGCCAAGAGCTAAACAACCTGCAAAAGCCGTCCATCCCCAAAAGAGGCTGACTACGATCATCGACAGCAGTACTTGCCAGGGCATGGCGACATGGTGGGATCCAGGCTCCGCATGAAGCCAGGAGAACGCCACGTCCCATGCCCCTTGCATCATCCGTCTCAATGCTGGCTTTCTCGTCGTCAGCGTGTTGATTGTCTCTGCAAACTGGTTGTAAGGTTTTCCAGCATAAAATAAAGCGCGACCGAACCGAGCAACCACGGCATTAATATCATCAATGTACTCAACGTGGTGTGCAAGCAAAGTATCAAAGTCTACTTCTTCACTTTTCAACCATGCTTCAAAGGCGTTCCAGCATCTTTCACGATACCTATTCGTTACCGGCAATGTAGGCCTCGTTTCCAGGTTTGGTTCCAAGGCGCCTCTTTCCAAAGCTCTGGCAACTTCTGCAGCAGTTGCGGGCGTCATTGCTGCGCAAACAGGCGCGACCGAGCTAAGCAAAAGCAAAGCACAGCACCAGCGCAGACAGCGGAGAAGCCTCAACAAGACCACAAAGCAGATGCTGAGGATGACAGGTAGAGGCGTAAGCCGGGATGAAAGGAAAGATAGGGAGGACTGGCCAGAAATCAGAAGCCGCTCAAATTCCAGAGCAACGATGAGGGGGTGACCCTCACCTGGAAAGCCAAGAGTTGCGTCAAAATCCAGAGGCGAATGGACGAAGGCTGGGCAAGGAAAAGCTGCTGCTGAAGGATCCTCGAAAAGGCCAAATTCAGGGCCGCGCAAACGGTACAATGACTTGTTGCTCAACTCTGTAGCCCAAGGACCAAGCAGGAAAAGAACCAGCCTGATCCAATTTGAGGCCCATCGTCTGGTAGGCCTAATCAATGCAATGTTCCACAGCTCACGGCTTGACTTCTCTCTCCACGACCATCCAGGCACAGCACCACGCAGATCATGCATCCTTGTAGGATCATCGGCACAGTTGAGCCTCGTAGGACAGAAAGGGTTAACCATGTAAAGCCCAAAAGCCACCAACATTGCTGAGATCCTCCTCAACACACTTGAAAGTGCCCTGGAAGCAGAGCGTCCTTTGCCCAAAGCACACCTGGCCACATTTGAGTCAACAAGACCCAGGAACCTCGAAGGCCCAGCTCGAGCCTGCCTCTCAACTAGACGCTCCACCGCCTTAAGCTCGAGGATATTGATGTGCGACTCCTTCTTGAACCGCCACGACTCAACAACCTTCCAATCATTTGCAAGCATGATCTCATTGATCATCTGATTTTCCAAGCCTTCAACGGACAGATCCTCCTCAGCTGCTCTTTTGGACTTTATGGCCTCAATAGAATGCCGAAGAGCCCATGCAAGTGCTGCTGCAAGTTCTGGAGTGTATATAGCCGATGCTTTCGTGTAAACACCAGCAATAGGAACATGGTTGCAAGTGCCAGGACATCTTCGAACGATGGAGGTCATGTCAACATTGACTGCCAGGAAAGCAAAGGACTTCTGATGAGCTGAACCATACTGGCAAGAATCAATTCGGACTTCTTGAGCTCCTGGCCATTGCAGCGCCCGCTGGTAGGCCGTCAGAAACTTGCTAAGTGCACTGAAGGGTCTCTCTAGTAGACCTGCAATTGTATGCATAGCGGCCTTCTTCAAGATCTGGAGTGCCCGTAGGAAAAGGAGGTTCCCCAGTTTTGTCTTTGAATCATGCGGGTCAAATCCCAGCGGCTGATGTCTACTTCTCAAAGCAGGACGTCTCATGATGCTGAAGGTTGTACAAGGAGGCTCAACAGCAACTGCCAAAAGGCGCCCCGACTCAATGAGGTGAAATATCCAAGCCAGCACACGCACCTTCGTGAGATCGTACTCCTCCGACAGAGAGATGTCCAACGGCGGTCCCACAACAACATTGAGCGAGGCCATTGCCTGTGAGATCCTGCTAGATCCTGCAAAAATCTCAATGAACTCAAAGCTAAAAGCAAGAGGCCGCTGAACGCCACCAGGATCCAGTTGAACATCAATGCCTGCTTCATCAAACTCGACCAAAGACTGTTGGTTCTTAGCCTGAGGGCTTCTGTGAAGGCGAGTGTAGGCACCCTTAGTCTTGCACACCTTTGACAGCATTTGCGCGACATCTCCACCGGCAAAGGCTGAGCACACAGCCCCCCGGGATTCGGAAGCGTCTGTTGCATAGATCATATCATCAAAGGGGACGGCAACGTCACTCAACATGAGTGGTGCCAACACTGCACAAAGAGTAAGCTCCTGGGCAACTGCACATGGCAAAGGAAGCAATGCGTCCTCATTCAACTCCTGACAGCTCTCAACCAGTGCAAAACTGCGGTTCAGCAGGTTCATCATGGGCCTCCTGTACAGAAGCATTGATACTCACGCTCCCACAATACACCGATGTAAAGAAGCTGTAGTGTAGGGCAATGCACGACTATGCAGGGTCAAAGCAGAGAGGGCTAGCCTCTTGGCTGCTGGAGCGCCCACAGTACACACCCCAAAAGATGAGGCCGAAGCACTCCCGTTGATATAGGCACCAATGGTTTTGCCTTCACCCTCCGCAATGATATCCTTCTCGGGCGAGCCCAAAAGGTCATAGGCAGCATAGGCTTCCTGAGCCTTCTGGTAAGCTTTGTAGGATCTTGTTTGCTGTCTTGGCACAGTCTTGTCATCAACTGACACGCAGAAGAAGTCGTCTATCACAAGGCCCTCAACTGTCTCCGAATCGAAGCAGGGTTTGTTAGCCACCAGATGCACATCTTCTTTCAACAACCCGAAGGACTGTAACAACTGGCTGTGAGCATCTGTAGCAATTTCTACCCCTCCATGATCACCTTGGAGGACACTGCTAAAACACGCCCAAACAATGTTGTCATTTGGTCGTATATCCAGCTGGGTTCGAAGATGGTCACCATGTCGTTCTCGGGAATATTTCTTTCTTGCAGATTCCAACAGAAAAAGCCTGTACGCCTCAGTGTCTCTGACAAAGGAAACTGGCAGACCAGGCCCCAAAGTGTTGGTAATTGCTCGAGCTTTGGTAACCCACAGCTGATGATAGAAGTCTCTCCTGTCCGAGATGGAGACATGTAATCTCTGTCGCTCCAAGTCAATGGAAAGGTCACATAGGTCCTGTCCTGCTGGAAGATTGCTCGACGGCCCTTTCAAGATACCCTCCACAGCATTTCTGCCGCGTCTGTCGCCTATTTGGCGGTCTCGATCGACCGCCTTGTAACAGTTGAACACACGCACCAACTCACATGGCTGCCTCGACGCAAGCTTGTCTTGATGAAGGCGAAGAAGACCCTGCTTATCCCAAAGCAATGCAAGCTGAGCGACTGTATCAACTGGATCACGTAGGCGAGGGTACTCCCAAGCCGCTGGCACTCTGGCCACCTTGATCGACTCTGGCTCGCGATAAGCCATGACCAGCTCATCACTTAGGAAAGGAGTGACATCCCAGTGGCCTCTTCCAAAAAGGACCAGGCGCGACCGATCCAGATCTCTATAGGGCTCCAATTCCGGGAAAAGCGTGTTGTCTTTGGTGACCTCATAGCCTGAGAAAGTCTTTGAATAAGGAGATGCTGAGCAGCCCAAAGTAGTAAGCATTGCAATCACCTCATTCAAGCGTGCAAAAAGCTCTGGATTCTTTCGGCCAACATGCAGGGAGTCAAAAACTGCTCTGAGGCCGTCCGACTTGATAAAGGCTCTAATCCTCTTGTAAAGATATCGATGAAGAGAACTAGGCACCCTCCACATAGACTCTGCGTTTGCAAAAGACCCATCTGCTTGCCAAAAGTTCAAGGCCATGCAAATAACATGAACTGCTCTGGCAACACTCAAGGCCCTCCGCTTCGAGCTCGAGATCCCTGCAGGCATCCTGTCAAAACATCCATCACACGGTGGAGGGACAGGGAACAAAGTCGGTGAAGCCGAAGCCCTACATGAAGAGCTCCGAGACAAACGTATGGAGAAAGAAAGAAAAGCTGCAAAGGCTGTACGTGATCTCAACACCAGTGTGGTCAGCTTCGAGCACCAAGTAACATAGCTGAGCTGTCTGATGTCACCTTGCAATTGCCCGCTCAACCCGCCCTTGGGTTGATGCCTAGGTCCCGAAGCAGAACCACGGCTACCAACCCCAGGGACAAAAGGGGAGCTGGAGAAACCCGACTGAAGGCAGCCTTCACCATCAGGATCAAACTGCTGTCCATCCAAGCATCTCTGGGGGCCACATGCACTCCAAACATCATTGGGCTTGAAGATGAATTCTGTCTCTGGGTCTGGAACTGCTATTGACCCTCCCCTGCCCCCTTCACCTTCTTCGGGAACTTCGGGCGACGTCTGGGGCTGGGAGAATCTTCCTCTGCTTTGCCACCACTCGGCTGACTCTTCTTGGACTTGGTTTCTTGCCGTCGGGTCTGGAGGACATCTATCTCCTTGAGATAGGCAAGATTGATGGATGCCAGCTGAGGTGGTATCAAAGGTGCAAAGGGGCGTCCTCCTGCTGCTGTAATCGACTGCATCTTCTCTTGGAACAGGGCTTGAGGTGGATCTTCGATCAGGGACAATACATAGGCGAGGCCCCAATCTCCTGCATCGAATGCACTTTGCTCTAGGGCCATCACGCCCAAGGCTAGGTACTCCTTGGTAGCAAAGAAGTCGCCTGTAGCGGCGGCATCCAGCGCATGAGCAAAGACCCACATGGTCAAGCCTGCCTCCCGTTGGCCCTTGAACCCTCCATACCTTTCCAGGTAGGTTAGTAGAGATGGAGCCTTCTTCTGAATTTCTTCTTCTGTCCGAGGCAGAATGGAGGAAGGGTTCAACCTTCGGAAAATCTGCTGTTGTAGTGCTAGGAAGAAGGAGGACTGCCTGGAAGCCAAATCCTGCTGTAGCCTCTCTCTTTTTGCCGTGCCTTTTGTAGAACTCGAGCTCACCCCGCTAGCATGAAGATCGAGCCCCATGGAGTCGCCCCCGTTGATCAGATGTGATACCAGAGCATTCAAGGCCATTGTCTGGTGTGAGAGAATCTGATCTGCTGTCTCCGGAGGATTCTTGAGAGGACACGGCCGGCATCTTGGGAACCATGCCTGTTCGCCCTCCTGCAGGAGTGGCACAGGTAGCTGGCTTGGCCTGGCCAGCTGGCTGGGCAGGATCTCTGGTAGTATGGAGGCTTTGCTGGGCTGCAATCAATGAAACCTGGGCGGACAACGCTGCAATCTGGTCTGCTAGGGCAGCGGTTGTCATCCTCTTGGCAGGAGCCTTCTTGGGAGCCTCGGAGGCCTTGGTTGCTGGCTCGTCTCGAGCACTGTAAAAATGGGTCCGGCTTGCTGAATCGCTCTCTGCCCAAACAAGGACGAGGTTCAAAAGCTCAGCTGATGCCGGAATGGCGTTTGGATGAAGATCATTGAAACATGCAATCTCCTCAGTGGAATCAGTCACAGGGTTAGTCCCGTAGGAGGGGGAGGACATCGTTTGAGAAATCCACCACCGCCACCTCACTCCTCACACCCAAGGGATGAGGAGCCCCTGTCATCTCATCCTCTGCCAGGAGGTCAACTTCAAAGGAACGTGAAGGGCCCACAAGAGCTTCCTCTTCAATGGGACCTGCTGCGGTCAAAACGGTTTGCTTCAAAAGACCAATTGGCAATGCAAGCATCATCCCCCTTCTCCTTGCGATCAAAGGGATAGCAAAGGCCATCGTCTCCATGCCACTCTCACATAGGTCCTCAGGCAAATGGATGACAAGCAGAGAGTGGTCAAGAGTGTTGGCCGCAAAAGCTATGCTTTGGCGTTCCATCGCCACAGCGGTGGAACTGGGATGGATGCTCCAGCGCAAAAGATATGCAGCTCCGTCAAGGTAGGGAGCTTCTCAACGTAATGGATGTCCGGGAACTCGGAGGAGAGACGGTCACAATCAGCTTGACTGGTCACCCTCACAAATTCAAAGGAAGATCCTTTGCGGAGAACCCAATGAGTAGAAGCTGAAATCCCTGGCCGGTACTGACTGGAATACTCAGTATTGCAAGACCAGAATGCTCTCACCCAGAAGCCCGCTTTGAAAGCCTCCCTGGCTCTCTCAATCGATGAAGTCTTGGACGAGGAGAGGTTCTTACCTGCGAGCTGCAGGCAAAAGTCCGGGGTCTCGGGAGGCCCCTCTTCAAATTCCACCACCACCTTCCTGCGAAGAAAATCCGCAGGTGCACCAGGAATTGCAGTTCCGTCTGACACCAATTCCCAGGCTCGAGATGAGCCCAAATCACAAGACGGGGTGCTTGTAGATCCCGAATGCTCCTCTCTTCGCCTCCCAGCCAATCCTCGAGTCACCAGAGTGAGCTCACGCACTGCCGCTGTCAATTCACGTAGGTCCTGACTGAGCTGGACGAAGTCACTCATGCAAGTAGGCTTGAAGCCTTCTGGACCGAGCCGCAAAGATCGAGCCAGGTGAGGTAGGCTCCCAATGAGGAGAAGGGAACTCACCCGAGGAAGATCGCCCCAAGAAAGGGCGGAGGCAGGTCCAGAAAATCCAAAGTCCAAAGACCGAGCCACCGACGAAGCCGAGGGCAAGGCCAGCCAAGAAAGGAAGAGCGGCGGAAGGATAGCAGTGGATCGGGCAGGCGAAAGTGGTCGAGAGGGAAGCAAACAAAGCCGCACCGTCAAGCACAGCTCCCAAATTCAACATAAACCCTTGAGACTTGAATGTGCAATCGAGTTCACAGTTAGTGATCATATATTGCCTTTTGCATTGGCATAGAAATCAATTAAACTTATTTTGCCTAGTCTAGCTCCTTACCTTCCTAGAAAGAGCTAAGCCGAACAAAACAACTTGACAGGAAAAGGGCCTTGAGAAGATTGAAGCAGCCTTCCTTTTTGGTGCTCAATGTTAAGGCGCGTTTGAAAGTGTAGAGCACCTTAAGCAAAACAGATACAACTTTACCGGAGCAATAGAATCACTTATTGAGACAGGACACCAAAAGAAATAATGTGTTGCCTGGATAGAAGTTAATTGATGCTGTTGCAACTTGGTCTAGCTCATTAGCTTCTCGAGTAATGCGTTCCTCTGTTTGAATCTTAATGCTCTTAAGAAGGCAATGTGTAAAAAGTTGCTTAAACAAAAATAATACTCCTTGTGAAGCTTGAAGCGGGTTCTTTTTAGTGCTCACATGAAAAGCGCTTGAACATATAGAAAGTTATATATGCAAGACATACATGACCCTACTCCAGCAATTGAAAAGCCTTTTGAGACGGCGCCTCGCAAAAACCCAGGTTTTGAGCTATTGTGTTGCTTCACTTCAAGGCGGGCAAAGGTTTAGAGGGAATACCAAAAAAAATACTACCAAAAAAAAAAACAAAAACCAAAAAAGAACATAAAAACCAATGGTTGAGACAAAATGAAGGCAAAAGCAAAAACAACCAATCCAAATCCTATAGTACCCTCATTGTGTCTCAAACATTGTTTGGTTGGTTTTTATTCGGTTAATTTTGCATGTTGCTTTTTTGGTCTGTTGTTTTTTTGGTTGTTTTGTATTTTGATTTTTTGGGGTGTTCCCTCTAAACGCAAAACAATAGCTTAAAACTTAGGTGTTTGTGAGGTTTCGGCCAAAAAACAACTGTAAAAACACGGTTATGTTTCATGTGTTGCATAAACAACAAAACAATTAAACAACAAATTACTCAAAACCTAGGTATATAATGGTGATGTTTCAGCCAAAAAAAAATGTCTATGTTGTTGTTTTTTATGACAGTGGTTTTGCACAGCTTCTGCACGAAAAACATCTCTCAGGAGCACCCGTTCTGAAAAAGGAAGGATCTGATGTACTCTGAGGCGCACGCCCAGTCAGTTCAGAGCCTGGACCCTTTGTCGCCCTTTTGGGTGCAACCTAAATGGTGACGACCAAGTAGGGAGAATGTATGAAGCTATTTGCTCCTAGTAGTAAGGCCAGGAGCTACTAGAAGCATGCTTGCTCCTAGTAGTGATGCCCTTTGCTACTAGTAGCTATTTGCTCCTAGTAGCAAGAATGCTACTAGTAGTAATGCTCTTTGTTACTAGTAGCGATGCCCTTGCTCCTAGTTGCTTCTTGCTACTAGTTCGGCCAAATTCAAGCAACAGAATTACAAGCGCAGTACTTACAAGCAGTGATCACCAAATCTTCTTTGCAGGCGCTCCTGAGGCTGCTGCCCGCCCACTTTCTTTCAATGCTCTGTGCTTTCGCCACCTGCACTTTTGTGATCTCAATTTCAAAAAGCCTCATGGATTGATGGCATTGTCAAGAATTAGCTTCCTGCAAGTGAGTGACAAAACTTCGGACATTAGACATGTAACTCCTTCAATCGCTTGAAGTGGTGTGACCATAATGATAGCATGATTTCTCCATTCAAATCCACTCATCTTGATTCACTTCCGAAAGTCCTTTTTGAAGTATCTACGCTTAGATCCAGACCATACACTGGCAACTGCCCAAAGGAGCCGATCCAATTTCTGGAGCTCCTTGAATAAAAAGAAAGGGTGGCATCGCCGCATCGCCATCGCACAAATCCATCGCCAAATCCCTCGCCTCTGGAATGCCTAGGGCTGAGAATACCGTCCTGGCGTGAGTGCCCATTCCAGTGCTCATTCCTATGCTTTTCTTCGTTGGGCTACTGTCTGCACTCTCCTCATGCAGGATATGACACCCGTATTCAGAAGAGGCAGAGAGTCCTCGAGTAAGAATGGCATGGACAACTCAAGCATGCTCTCCGAAAGTCATCAATCTCAAGTCTGACTGCTTGAATAAGGTGAGCTGAACTGTAACCTCAAGGACCTAATTAACACAAATGCTCTAAGTATTGGACAAAGAAGCTGAAGCGAATCAAAGGGCAGACCTCAAGAAGGATGATATTTGATGATCGGTTGGCCTCCATCCAATCAGGAGCCCCTAGTAGCATCCTTTGCTCCTAGTAGCGATGCCCTTTGCCCCTCGTCCTCCTAGTAGTACGGCCAGGAACCCCTAGTGGCATCCTTGGCTCCTAGGCCTCCAACCTAGGTTTCGACTGAGATTCCTGCTGACAAAGGCTCGCCCAAGAAGCTGCCAGCCATGCTTCGACCTTGGAGGCAAACATTCTCTGGAAGGAGGACAAGAAGCTCTCCGACATGACTAGCTGAGTGTCGCACTGACATTTCCATGCTTCAGCAACACCTTCATGGCCTTTGGAAGCACACACTTGCAACAGCAAATGTCAGGCCATAAATCAGGAATCAAAAGCACAACGGAACGCACCTAAAGACATCATAACACATCTAGTTGGATGAGGTCTCAACAAGGTCTCATAATGTCAATAGTTTCTTAGAGGTCTAGCATGATCCACCAGTCTCTTTTCTCTGGGTGCAAATGCTTTGGACTGACCAAACTTGGCAGTGCTGAAATCTCTTTGAGAGACCGGGCTGAAGTGTAGCCTTCCTCTAAGCCACTGAGAACCATAATGGCAAGCCCATGTGTGGGCCTTAGCATCTTGCAGTCGAACTTCTGAAGAAACCAAGGGCCTTGATACCATTTGCCCCTCCCTCTACTTTGTACAAGTGAATTTGCTTGCCCTGAAGTGCCAACACTTGCTTCTTTGAAGTGAAAGAAATCAAAACATGTGGTAATGCAAATGGAAAATGAAAGAAGGCAAGCACACAAAGAAAGACTCGCCAAACACTACACCAAAACGTTTCTATGCTCAAGTAAGACATGAGTAGACATGAGTACTCCATGCTCCTTCAAACAGGAACAAGTCCGTCAGGCAAAGCAAAAAAAGTCTGCATAACGGAAAAAAAACTGATAGAACCCACGAACCCGAATATGAAATATAACTGAAAGGAGCGGATTGATATCAGACATGGGGCAGCAAAAAACGACCGATCCTCTTTTTTGCACACGTACGTTTTGCAGCAACAGCGGCCTCGTGAAACACTCTTATGGGAAACTCTTGTGGGACATTCTTGTGGGACACGCTACTCTTCTGTCTTGTGGGACACTCTTGTAGGACACTCTTAAGGGAGATTCTTGTTGGACACTCTTGTTGGAGACTTTTGTGGGACACTCACTCTTGTGAAAGACTCTTGTGGCACCCTCGTGCAACACTCTGGTGGTGTGCCACAGACTAGATACAACAGTCGGTGTACCACCAAGCCTCGTGGTCCCCGCCAATCATGCCAGTGACACGCCGAATTTGCACCAGCATGTTTTCCTTCACCCAATGGCACGGACTCGCGCGCAAAGGCACTTTCGACCGAAGCCGCGCACAACTGCACGGCACAGCGACATCACAGACGGAATTTGGTCACACGATGCACGATTCCCTGCGCCTGCCACAAAAGTTCAACGTCGACACCTCCAACACGCACAAAACACTGCGCCTGCCACGCAGTAGTGAGGATATCATCTTCAGCAAGATTTGCACCACACAAGATCGGAATGCCATCCGCCAAAATCGCCACTTTAGCTGAGACTTGTCACGAAAACACAGCTTCAAAGCAACAGCCAGGAACGCAATTCCCAATGTCACAGCCACATCCAACACCCCAAAAACACAATCCTCTAAACCTTCCAGTTTCAAAACTCCCAAACGCATGGTATTTCACACGAATCTGACGATCCTCTTCCATCAAAAAACTCTCCAAGAGTTTTCCCACAAGGAAGAAATTTTCGACGACACGGCCACACCACGATAACACAACTCTACCCCCGCAACCCCCAACTATAAACGAGAACCCTTCACTATGCATTCGGGAATAAACATAACGGATAAAAAAGATTGCGTTCTTATGCGGTTGCTAACTACCACCCGGATCGCGACAGCACAACAGGTGGGGCCAAACAAGCAACGCACTGTGATAGGATCAGGAGATAGATCCTGAAAGTGAAAAATGTTGTGATCATGGCCTTTAAGAACCCCATAGCTTCCAGTTATCGACGAACAAGAGAATAGCGGCGTAGGAAAAGTATGGAAAAGTCCATCCTGAAACTGGCTTGAGCTCAAGCTTCCTAGACCCAACCGGCTGAGTGCCATACTGGAGATTGAACACAGCAGCAGCAAGTCCCAATAACCCCTAAAAACGATCAGCAAACTTGTCAACTCATCACGTTGCTCGGATCTTGTAGAACGAGTCTGGGTTCGTCTTTGTATATAACCACGTGCAGTTACATTACATTCACGACTTCTAAAGCATTTACAGTAAGTAGTCTGGTGTTCTGATACAACTTGTGACTGTACAAAAGTCTTGCCAAGGAATCAAAAGAAGGTGAGCAAGGACGCTACTAGTAACAAAGGGCATCGCTACTAGGAACAACTAGAGGCTCCTGGCCGTACTACTAGGAGCAAAGGACGCTACTAGGGGCCCCTGGCATCGCTACTAGTAACTAGGAGCAAAGGATGCTACTAGGGGCTCCTGGCCGTACTACCAGGAGCAAAGGACGCTACTAGGGGCTCCTGGCATCGCTACTAGTAACGAGAAGCTACTAATAACAAAGGGCATCGCTACTAGGAGCAAAGGATGCTACTGGGGGCTCCTGGCCGTACTACTAGGAGCAAGGATGCTACTAGGGGCTCCTGGCACCAGTACTAGTAACAAGAAGCTACTAGGGGGAAAGAGCATCGCTACTAGTAGCAAAGGATGCTATTAGGGGCTCCTGGCCGTACTACTAGGAGCAAGAACGCTACTAGGGGCTCCTGGCATCGCTACTAGTAACAAGAAGCAACTACTTGGAGCAAAGGATGCTACTAGGGGCTCCTGGACGTACTACTAGGAGCAAAGGACGCTACTAGGGGCCCCTGGCATCACTACTAGTAACGAGAAGCTACTAGTAACAAAGGGCATCGCTACTAGGAGCAAGTGATCCTACTAGGGGCTCCTGGCCGTACTACTAGGAGCAAAGGACGCTACTAGGGGCTCCTGGCATCGCTACTAGTAACGAGAAGCTACTAGTAACAAAGGGCATCCCTACTAGGAGCAAAGGACGCTACTAGGGGCTCCTGGCATCGCTACTCCTAACAAGAAGGTACTAGTAACAAAGGGCATCGCTACTAGGAGCAAAGGACGCTACTAG